TCCTTGGTACGTACGTAACAAAGACATCCACAACGACCTAAAAACTGACACTATCCCTGAATTCCTGACCAAAAAACACGCAAAATTCAAAGCCAAAGTCCTTAACCACCCAAACCCATTAGTCCAAAATACCTTTAAACTTCCTAGCAATGACCTGGGCCAGAAAACCATCATGGCCCCCCTTTAACTGGGATTAGCTCCCCAAAACCCCCACACAAACCCCCCTCTCTTCCCTCCTAACCCCAACCAGAGGTGCCACGGTAAAAAATCCACTGGTCACTTCTCAAAGTACTCAATTAAAGTAAACTCTTCCAAATTTAAAACTTAAAAGTCCCGAAAAGGGCTGTCAAAAAAGAGCAAAAGTTCCAACGAAATAGCTCTAGTAAAATTTCCAAAACATCCGGCTATGTCTGCGGTAAACATCAGGCCACGGTGGCCATGTCTGCGGTAAACATCATGTCACATACAATGTTAGTCATCTTCGTATACTTTGCTTCCATTAGTTGATTTGAGTAATTATTTGCTTGCTGATGGCGGATCTGCTATTTATCTACTAAATAACGGATTCTTAAAAATATGAAATAATGTGGATTTTTAATGGGACAAGTACCGCATACAGTGCTGCTTCAATTAAACGTTTGATGCTCAAGTCCGAATAATCATTTTTCTTTCAAATGTTACTCCATTCGATTGGGATATTAGTTAAAACACCTAAAGGGTGTTTGGTGCATTTTTCGAAGTCTACCGATAATTACCATTGTTTCTTGGCTACTTTCTCCACCGCGAACGTTCTTTAGAATTGACGCTCAGTCTAGCCAAGTTGGGTCAAGTCCAATCAAGTATATTAAACTGTTTCAACATGTTTCTGTCAAATTTGCAGGGTCTACCGATAAATGCATGCGAAACCTGAAACCACTGGTAGATGCACAATTAATTGATTCCCTTGTTTGGAGCTAAAACCCAAAACTGTACCGAAATTAATCAATTTGTATCGAGAACTCAATGAGCCACCTAAAGAAGCTTTCGAAAGCCCAGACGCGTAAACAGGATATTTTGTACCATTACCAAGACTGTATAATGTATAAGGCGTTTACTTCTCTAGCTAATGGGTATTATTAGTACGTGATAATCTGTGCTTTTCCCATTTCATATGATCAGTAGAGCTCGGAATATTAATGGATTCTAAGTCTGGCTTATGAGTTATTAAGCTTAGCATTAGTTGGATAACTTTGAACAGTTTTTCACTAATTTAAACATGCAAATTGAAACAAAACACTTTGAAAATTTGCGCGTGCTGTAAGGTGGTTTAAAAAGTAATAGCAGCAACCAAGTAAGCTAAAGTAGGCACTGTATTTCTGGAAAAATTGCAATTGAAGTTTTTGGTAAGTTTTTACAAGTTACAAGGTAGTAAGTAAACAAAAAAACCATAACCGCAACCATGCACAAAATGAAAAGCAGTGTCGAACATGCGAACAGTTTACCTTTCTGTGGAGGGTCGAAATAGGGTCGACACCTACACAATAAACGACCCAACGATGATCTGAAACTAGCGTTGCCAGATCCTCTCACTCCCGTAAACAATAAAAACTGATGTTGCGAAGTGAGGTTAAGTGAGCTAAATAGAATTGTAATAAACGAGAAGCTGAGACATAGCGAAAATGTGAGAGTATTTAATCAGCGGCCAAAGGCAACATTTTTTTCTTGAAGCAATTTTCCGGTCATATTTTAACCATCATCAGTACTCATAATGAAGTGTTTGCCCTGTCGCAAAATGGAAATGAGTAGAAAGTAAATCAAAGGGAAAACCCTGTCAACATTAGGAAGAAGGCATACTTCCAGTGGTTTTTTACGAAAGCCGTTTGTGACCTTGTTTGGGAAACACATGTTGGTTTTTAGTGACAAAACCCTGATGATCACTGGAATACATTAAAATTCTGTAGGCGGGAGTTTTGATCGCTTGCTCAAACTTTTCACTTTTCAAAACTTGCTTAATTACTTTATGAAGAGTCAGTATTTAGTTAGTTTATTATGTTATTTCTACGATTATTTTGTATGCATTCCAAAACCTAATTACAACAAATTAACTTCTTCTCCTTCTTTTTATTCCCCAAAAGACATCTTGCAGGTCTGTCTTATTGTTGGGCTCCTCACTCTATCCCGTAGTGTTTTTCCCGCTATTGACATTAGAGTCTTCATCTCTGACGGTCTTAACATTCATTTTGTTTCGTTTGTGTCTGCTCGGGTCTCGATAGATAGATGAGTATTGGTCTTACGCATGTTTTGTATATTCGAACTTTACTATCGATGCTCATATGTTTATTGTTCCATATGACGTCTCTTAAGCAACCAGATGTTAACGAGGCTTTGTTGATCTGACATTTGAGATGTTTAATTGGTTCATTGCGGCTAGAAATATCCGCTCCAAGGTATCTAAAAGTTGTGACTTGCCCGAAAATTTCATTGTTTATAACCAGCTTACATCTCGTTGGTTTCCTGGCAAATGACATACATTTTGTCTTGGATATTCATATTTGCATATTAAATTGTGTGCTGACCTGGTTGAATCTGTGAAATTGTCTTTGCAAATTATCCTCCGTTTCTGCCAATATTGTCGCGTCATCAGCGTATCAAATTATGCTAATGGGTTTTCTGTTGATCCTATACCCCATTCTAAAGCCGCTGATCTCTTCAACGATCTCGTCCAAAATCAGGGTGAACAGAAATTTTCTTATACCCTGCGATATGGGAATGCGATTTGTTGTCTTATGATGATGATTAACTTTAATTCGGGTTGAATTGCCTGTGTTTAGGCAGTATACTGTTTTTATAATTCTTGCCGGCGTTCGCTTTTTCTTCAAGATGTCGATAATGTCTTCCAGTCGGACACGGTCAAATGCTTTTGTTAAATCGATAAAACATGCAAAAACGGAGGTGTAGAATTCTATTATATTTTCTTTTATCTGGCGTATGATAAATAGGGCGTCATTTGTAGCCCTATTTCTCGGGAATCCCTGTTGTTTGTCTTTAATTTCGATATGTTGTTCCAGGTTATCTTTAATAAGGCCGGTAAATAATTTCATGGAGGAGCATAGAAGAGTTACACCTCTGTAGTTTTCTGGGTTGGTTTTTTGTTCTTTTTTGAAGTTGGGTATGGTGAAGCTCTTGTGTCAATCGTTGGAGATTGTTTGTGAGCTTAATATTCCATTGAAGAGTTGCGTTAGTTTTTTTGTGAGTTCATTACCGCCATACTTTAGAAGTTCGTTTGGTATATTGTCCACACCCGGTGCTTTACTATTTCTAAGCTTTCTTGTAATGCTTTTTAAATTATAAATTAATAAATTAACTGTACAAAGTAAATGCACTCGGATTTCATCTCTATAACATGATAATCCCACTGGCTGCTGGCTGCTTTAGTGCGTAATATTCGTGGAAGCCGATTTGGATAGCAGAGTGCAGGATAATTCCTCATTTTCTAGTACTTGCTATTAGGTGCACGCAGCCATAGTTAATCCCCGAATTTAGATATATTTATTTAACTGTAACTGATAGATTTGGAGAGCATGTACCTGAAATCCCCCATAAAACAGCAATACGAAAGAGACTCAGTTAGTTCTCTAGGAAAATGATCCATACAAAAGAAAATTCTCTTTGTTTCAGGCACTTTTGATCAGAGCTACATTCCACACGCCATAGCATATTCTGCATGTCTAGGAGAGCATAGGCTGCGTTGCCAAGGCTTGGACAACTTTGTCTCAACTCCTCCACATAACTGCACTTCCAATGGTGAAGCATCTGGAAACTCCGTGAACGGACAGCCCATAGCTGTTGCCTCCAGTGTAATGGCTGACGACAGTCACCGGGTTAGCTCAGAAGGAGTGGTGGATAGTCTGGAGAAACTCCTTCTGTCTGTGTTGGCCTTCCTATTGGTTGCAATTACTTAGGTGGAGTACTGATTTTCAATGGTGCTGATCAGGGTGTTTCGTAGTGAACAGCAGTGTGTAAATGGAAATTATAAAGAAGTTATTATGTTGTGTTTTTAAATGAATAGTGTTTGTGTATATAAATAGGTATGTATTAGTAGTATAATGGACCAAAGTTTTACTGTAAAAATTGTACATAATAAATGAATGATTAATTATAAAACTCTAAGTACTAAAAGGGGTTTTTGTATTAAGTCGCTCTGGAATGAAACCGACTCAGAGCTGCAACAGGTCCAAGAAGGAGCAACAGAAATTAAACTCGATTATTTCTTAAACAAGGAAAAAATTGTGCTTCAGTACATCCAGGAGCAAAAGGAGAATGATAAACCATTGAGAGGAAAAAATAAAAAGAGATAGACTTTCGAGACCATTCCCGGAAACTAATGGATTTTTCGGGTTTTTAGGCCGTCGCTCGGTAGAATTTCTACTTGACGCTTTGCAAGCACGAGTGGCTTGCATCTTCAGATGCAGTTTGCTTGAACGCTTACACTGTTCCGATGCGATTCCTCGGGCGCAGTCCGTATTTATGCACCGCTTACAATGACGTGGCCTGTTTCATCGGAGCCTGCGCATTCTCTTGGCTGTTGCTGTCCTCCGGTGCACTGGATTCTCTCACCTGTCGTGAGCTGCTGCTTTTCCTTGCTGTTTTTGCGTTGGTGAGTGCTGGAAACCATATCCTGTTTAGCGCCATTGTCTCTTCTTTTCTGTTGAAATTTTCGTTGTGTTTGTAGATTTCAATGGCTTTTAGTATTAGTCGGGGGCTCGTATTACCCTGTTTTTGTGGCCAGGACCTGTGCTTCTCCGGAATAGATGTTGTGTGTTCCATCGCTGAGGGAGTGTTCCGCCACTGCCGACTTTTCCACATGTCCCAGTTTATAATTCCGTCGGTGTTATTCTATTCTTGTCGCAACCGATCTCTTAGTAGTTCCTATGTGGACGCTTCCACAGGAGCATGGAATCCGGTAGATTCTTGCAGTCTTCTGTCCTTAACTGACCCTGGACATTTTCGGATCTTTGTTGTTGGCTTGTAGACTGTTCTTATGTTGTGTTTCCTCAGGAGCCTCCCGTAACCCTGAGAATAAAGGGCAGGAAATCTTTCAGAGTGAATTCACCTTTTTCAGCACGGCCCACTCCTACAGTTTTTTTGATGTACGACTGGAATATCGGTTATGAATAAAAGCTTTTTCCAAGTGCTGTAGTTCTGTGGTTAGATGTTGTGGTCCACATATTTTTCTCGCTCTATCCGTAAAAGTCTTAATAATTCCCTGCTTCTGACTCGGATGGTGGTTAGATAGCTTGTGAAGATATCTGTCCGTGTGGGTGGCTTTTCGATATACCTTGTGGTCCAAACGATTCCCCTCCCTAGGCACCAAAACATCCAGGAAAGCCAGTTGGTGGTTTTGTCTAGGTGCTGTTTGTTTAGATGGTCGAGGGAGATGTCCAGGTTTTTGCGTTCATGCCTCCATAGCACGAACGTGTCATAGATATATCGGACTTTCCTCAAACTTCTCCATGAATAGATTTGCCACCACGAGACTGAGTGGGCTTCCCATGGCTACATTATACATTCTGGAAAGCTCATTATGGGCTAAAAATTCTGAATGCTACCAGACCATTTCTAGCAACATCAGTATAATACACGTGAAAGAAGCAATCTGAATTGGCGGATCCAACGACTTAATAGGACATGCAACTGTACTTTAGACTATGTACCCAAACTGTACAATAAGTTGCCTGAAAGTGTAAGGGACTTCAGCCAGAACCTATTTAAGGCACACATTAAGGGTTACTTGATACGTGTTGCATTCTATTCCGTTGATGATTTCCTTAGTCACCAATTGGTTTTTGAACCCTGACATGACGTTCAGTGTAATGCTGGGTTTTGTCTATCGGTCTGATGTCACTGTGTTTATCAGTTTATCTAATTAATTGAATTTTATTCATATTACTGACGTATGTAATATTTTTAACATGAATAAGGGAATTTGAATTTCTCATCATGACATGTTCAAGAATTTTCGCCCATTTTAGGAAAAGCACATCTTCATTTCGAATCGAACATCAAAAATTTCGATTTCGAATCATCATCAGCTTTTGCAAATCTTTGAGAAATTTTCAAAATTGCAGTTAGTTTGCGAGGTTGTTTTTGCTAGCATTTATTTGTTCAGGAACTAATAAAGTACGAAAAATGCTTTTAATTGTATTGCGTGGAAAAATATCCCTCTTACAAGCGCGACATTTTTTGATTTTTACTTATCATCGGGATATTTTCAACAATTTTTGCGCATTTTTTCAAAAGCGCATTTGGGTTTCGTGGATGTTTTTGCAAGCCGGAATTTAGCATTTATTTTCTCCGTAATGTGCAAAGTCGAAAAATCAGTTTTGGATGTATTTTGCAGTGCAAATGCGCTTCGATTGGTGAACAAAAATTTTCGATTTTGCATCATCATCAGGTAATTTTTAACAAATTTTCAAAATTGCAGTTAGTTTACGTGGCTGTTTTTGCTGGCAGGAGCTCGGCATATATTTGCTCAGGTACTAACAACTAATAACAAGATAATTGCTGCTGACAGTATTTTGTAGCGCAACGTCCGTTCTAGAAGTGGGAAATGTTTCGATTTCCTCTCATCATCAGGACATTTTCAAGAATTTTTTTGCATTTTTTCTAAAGCGCATTTGGTTTTCGTGCTGATTTGCCAAGCTGGAGTTTAGCATTTATTTTCGCTGAAAATTGCAAATTTAGGAAATGAATATACAATTCAATTTGTAACTCAAATTCGCTTCTGTTAGTGGAGAAAAATTTCGATTTTGAATCATCAGGAAATTTTTGCGAAATTTTCAAAACTGCGTTTGGTTTGCGACGTTGCTTTTAGCAGCCGGACATTTATTTATCCTAAAACTAGCAACGTGAGAAATTTAATTTTGAAGGTCTTTCGTAGGGTGGCGTCTGATCTACACGTAAGCGATGTTGCGATTTTCAGTCATCATTTTTTCAAATTTCAATTTTCTAAAAGCGCATCTGATTTTAGGGGTGGTTTTACCAAGCCGGAGTTTTACATGGATTTATTTGCAAACTTGCAAAATCAATGTTGGATGCATTTCTTAGTGTAAGCCCTTTCTGTTTGTGGAGAAAGTTTCGGTCATCATCAGACAAGTTTAGAGAATTGTTTTTGCTGCTCAGAGTTTGGCCATTTATTTACTCATTAACTCAGAAAATAGTAGAGCCGCTTTTGTATGTATTTTATAGGGCAAAGGCAGTTCTATAAGTGACAATAATCGATTTTTAAGTCGAAGATCATAGGGGAATTTTCCAGAATTTTCAAAATTATATGTGATTTTTGGGTACAACAACAACAACATGTAGTGGGACGATGTTTGCCAGTTTTTTGACGATTCAAAGCTTTTTTGCAAAAACACTTACTGACGAAAAACAACTGAACTAGATAAGGCAAACAGAAATCAAATCGCTCATCGCATGCAGATTTAATTCAGCTCCAAAATTTAGGGTAAATTTGGCATTGTAACATCATTTAGTTGGGCAGTAAACGCTTTATTGTGGGATTACAGAGTGTTGGAGCCTCAAAAAACCATTAATTCACGGATTTTAAAGGCATTGAAAAAATATTAGAACAATGACGAAATCGAAACAATATCTAAAACGAACAAGCAGAAATAAAAAAAACTTGAGAGTTTTGCAGTTTAAAAAAACATCTGCTTAGACTCAGAGGAAAGCCAAGACTCATAGAAATTGAATTTGAATAATTCGATTTTGAAAACTGATTTCATTTTGTATTCTTTAGGAATTGTAACTTTTTTATATGAAGTTTCGCATTATTTTGTCCACGTTACAAAACCATGAAGTTGAAGCCAATTGTGACAACTTTATTTAATTTTTAATGTCTGGAAACATTAAATATTATCACTCTTTGCTTTGAAATATCGTTCGTTCTTGGATCATTTTCTTTAAACACATTTTGATGATGAGAGTAAATTAGGCTTCAGTGAAAAACTTCTATAGAAAAATGCATGCCAGACGCCCACATCAAATAAAAGAAGGAAAGGAAAACTCTAAACCCTGACTCAGTTTTCAGACTTCGTTGAGCATCATTAAACAGAACTGCCAGAATCTTGTATTCGCTGATGCACTGGACGATAAAAATACGGTCCTCATTAGGCGGACAACTCGTTAATATTTTATTGGTTGTATTTATGTTTTATTGCTCTATTAACCTGCCCTATTACAGCTTGTTAATTTGCGGTTTAATTTACTTTATTAAGATTTAAGGGAAAGGGTGCTGTTTACTGCTGACTCCTAGTATTGGGCAAGTGCGAATATTTGGTTTATATTGATGGAATGATTTTTGAGTTGAATGAAACAGAAGTTTGAAATTTTCTAGGCGGGAGCACTACTAGATTCCCCCAATTGCATATTTCTTAGGGGCAATTGAAAGGACAAAGTACCGTAGGAGGAATGTAGGTGGTGAGTTCGATACCCATAATAGCGCTTTAAATTTGTTACAAAAATTGAAAACAAATTTCAGGGCGATGTTTTTGCACCCTTCACAATTTAGCAACTGGAAAGGATAATATAACTAAAATGCCACTTAAATAGAGAAACATTATTAATTTAACCATGTAATATCGATAAATGCCCCAATGAAATTTCCAATCAATAAAGCGACAAAAATCGCGCGATTAAACTGGTAAATTGTTTCCACATGTCTTGAGTAAGTAACCAGTAGCCTCAATGCGAGCTGGGATTTTCGGATGCACGGTCCAATTCCTGCAATTATCCCTTCAATGGTTCATTATGTGGTCAGGGACTGACTGTTTACTTAATTTCAACGTGTACACAGATAATGCGATCCGCTAATCGATTAGTCAACAATTATAGATGAGTTAATTCGTATTACACAGCGCTAGTGTGTTATTAAAAAATTAAAATGTGTTTGGGGGTAAATCAATGAATTTTTATGATTTGGCGCAGTGCAACGCGATGGCTTGCTGCGCCAACCCAACGCACCGGCGCTGTAACTCAGTTCCGTTGCTGGGAAAATGTTTGTGACTATTTAACTTAATTTTAGATTTCTCTTAAGGGCGATTTATCAATAATACTTTTAGTATTTCT